TTAGAAAAGAATAGTAGAATATACTCTAACCTACTAAAATATAGTATTAGAAAAATAACTATAGTTAAACTAAAAAATTTAATAAGACTCTATAAGACTCTACCTTTAACTCTAAGATATAGTTAAGTAATACTACTAAAATATTATAAATCTCTTAATAAGTATATAATAATACGATATAACTCTATTAGGTCTAATTACTATTATATTATTTTAATAAAGACAATAGAATAGTAAACTATATTTATTATAAGATAATATTATAATAAACTACACTTATAATAAGAATATATAGTATAGTAAAGCTCTCTATTATCTATATATTTACTATATAAGTTTATTTATCTTATCTTATTTTATCTTATTCTAAATATAGATTAATTCTAATACTATTATAAATCTATCTATTTAAAAATATAGTTCTTTTTTAAACATAATTCTAGTAGTTATCTTATACTAACCTAAGGTTATCAAAAAAGCTATCTATTTTTATAAAGCTCTCTTCTACTATAACTATTACTTTTTACTCTTCTCTATATAAGTATATACTAAGAGATCTTAAATAACAAATATATATATTAAGTTAAAGTAAAATTAATTTATACTTAAATAGTAATATAAACCTCTATCTATTATTAGTATTAATAAGTTAAAAAATAAATATACTACTTTCATAAACTATATAGATATACTTATAGTAAATAAAGTAAGTATAAAGGTAATATATTATATTACGAGACTAAGTAAGAAGACTAATAAGTAGCTAAAGACTAATATAATATATATTAAAAGTACTATTACTATACTAAATTCTAGAAAAAAGTAGAGAAGGTCTAGAGTATAGTGTTGGAGTAAGAAGAGCTTAGTATAGATAGAGGCGATGCTCTACTTTATTTAGAGATATCTAAGAGTAGTTAGAAGAGATAAGCTAGAGAAAGTTATATAATATATTTTAGAGGGTAGATTAGGCTACTATATTACTCGTGTTAACGCTACTAGTGCGTAATAGTATTAACACGTTATGGGCGTAATAGTGTTAATTAGTAGAGCAGAGGATGGGTGCGTAGTAGTTACTACTTACTAGTTATAATTAATCTTAGAATTTTTTTCTCTTAGAAACTCTACTTAGAAAGGCTAGAGCTAACTATAGACGTATAGGTAACACTACTACTAATACTAATTTGAGTAGTCTTACCTACGCTATTATAGTAATTGAGCTAGAGAAAAACTAGTGCTTATAAGCTTTTAAAAATATTATTTTTCTTAGTTATAGCTTTTTTGAAGTAAGTTAAAAAAGTTTTAAATCTAGAGCGTTTACTAATAAGTTGTTCTTAGTACCCCTCTACAACTTCGTAGTAGAACTTAGGAGAATCTATTGCGGAACCTAGCCTTCGCGCGAGTCAACGTTAAGCAACAGCTCGAACGGCTTTGCGTCATCAACAATTAGAACTCCATGTTCAGTAAGTAATAAGTACTTAGGGGCCTCAAATTCCCTCTAACAAGCACCAGGCGAATAGTTCTCGAACGAATAATACGAGCTCAGTCCAGACATATTTAAAAAACATTTCGGCGAGCAGTTCCGGGCAGACATAGCCAAAATGGAGAGAGCCCATATCATTACTATAATTTGACTCTAAGCAAGGCGTGATAACTGTTACTGAACAGTTCGAAGGATTTACATTCGTAGGATTACTCTCGAAGCGTCTAGAGGGACGAAGATCCCAACGTCACAAATCCTCGCCCACAGGTAAATACCATAATGATAATGGCATCAGCGGAAGTTACAGTGCCTGAAGAAGTAAGAGCCATCAAATTTAGTTCAGGGCATAGCTAACAACCCATCAGATGAGTTTAAAGCCTTTAAGCAAGCTCGAAGTGGTCAAAGACGATTCTTCCATCGTCATGGACTTTACACTCCAAAACGTACAATCTGTCACCGTATGCACTGCCATTGACTTGGCCAAAGTGAGTGTTACAGCCTATATACATGTTAGACTTTACAGATCTAATACTTCTTAGAATGAGACATGGAAGATGAACGCGATAGTCGGAAGATCCGATGCCACTGTCCCTACGCTGGCTAACACACGTTTGACTTGGCCAATCTCGCCACGGGTGCAGCCAAAAGTCGTTGTCAAATCCGTCTGCTCCCCTGATGGTAGATTAACCCTCTGCATTTGGCCAGACAGCCCCGTGCCCGGGGCACACGTTACTGGAGCCAAAAGAGCGACATACACACGATCGGTAGATAGAAAGGGTGACGGCTTATGAAATGCATGCTAGCAGAGCTTTCAATATCATGTTGGCGGTGACTGCAAGGAGAGCCGCGGATATGGCGACAAGTGTTCTACAAGCTCAACTCACAAGCCTCTATTCCCCTACAGTACAATACCAACCAATTTTGTACTCATAAAGTATCTGTTAATAACTTAGATATATCACACGATACTACTATTGCGATATTATGAAGGTCTATATCATATTCTTTTGTTCCTAAGTATAATATACCAATAGACACTATATATAAAAACTAGGTACCTGTGGATACATAAGTTACTAATAAGTTATAATATATCTATATATTTCTTAGAGTATAAATATATCCCAGAGATACTAGAGTGAAGACTTTAACATTGTCAATAGTTATTTTGTATAGATACATTTGAAATATTTCACTAGAGTATAGAAAGAGTCTATATAGCTAGAGGGACCTATATAACAGGACGTTAGCAGTTGATCTTCTAAAGGCGGTTATTAAGCTAAATAGTTATAGTAGTAATAAGGCTTTTAGGTGCTGAGGCAGTGTGTGGTGGCTGTTGTTAGAGTGGTGGCTGCTGTGTTATTGATTTGAGATGTAAGAGACGACGGTGTATTCCCCTAGTATTCAGGTAAGAGAAAGGCATAGGTGGGGGGTTAGCATTGTTCTGTTGTTGCAACGAAAATCATTATTTAGTCTTTGCTTTCACAAGAGCTATATCTCACACACTAAACTCCAGCCTGTTCCCTACAAAGTCTCGTGCAAAGAACCTCGTCGGGTACTCGACGCCCTCTGCCCCACTATTCTTCGCACCAGGCTTATCAGCCATTAATGGCGCGCTCTCGTCTTTCCTCTCAAAATGTTCCCATACCCTCGTTTGCAGCTCGTTCAGCGCTTCTACGCTGCCAACCCGGAAACAGGGATGGCGTGAGGAGTGGTGAGCAAAGTCCTCAGGCTTGCCGATCGCGACGTGCACTTGCTGGCCTGATGTGCCGATGTCGAACCATGCGAGTGTTTCACGCTGGAGATGGGGTACGGGGCGTGGTGTTAGGCCGAGGGTTTGAGAGTAGAATTCGTTAGCGAGGTGGAGGGTTGAGGGCGGTACCACCAGGTTGATGTGGTGGATGCCTGTTATCATGTTGGCCGAAGGTGCGAGGTGAGTTCGTTGGGTGGTCGATGGTTGTGAGGACTTGGCGCTGCATCATGGGGTGAATGCTGATTGCGGGGTCAAGACGTAGAGGCGGGCACGTGTCCTGCGGCCTATTGGTGATGGCTTATCAGAGACGACGCTGAGCCTGCGCCACACGCAACTTCTCACCTGAAGAACACTCAGCCTTGCATGTTATCGACAAGATGATTGCTTAGATGCAGCATACACTCAGCCTTTTACATCCTCCAAGGCCAAATATGTGGCGTTATGGTTTCATTGGTCCGGCCCGCGTTCCCCGCACAGCAGATCGCCAGTGTTGCCTATATACTTTGATTTCAAGTACAGTCAGACGGTTTTTTTACACCCAAACGAAACATTTAGCTATATCATTCTAGATATCAACGGAAATGCCATCTACCACATTGCCCGACATATGTGACCCCTTTCTCTCGAGTGCAGACCACCTCTATGATGACTACAGCAGCCTGGGGCACACAATTAGGCAGCTTTGTGAGGTGGAGGACTACTCGATCTCGAGACCCCGAGCTTCGGTGGATAGGAACAGCTCGAATTGTGAATTCTGCAAGATAATAGCTTCCAATCCTAGGCTGAAGTCTGGCACACGAGACTTCATCATCCACAACAAGAGTGTTCTTAGTGAGCGTGGTTCTCGCCCAGCCGACAGTATCGACAGACTGACTGTCCAGCGTGAGAGACGACTGTGTCTTAGATTGCCTGTTTTTACCACTGAAGGCCAGGAATTGTTCCAGTGGGCAATGGGAAGAGGTGATAGGGGCTGATTGTCGACACAGGCAGCGTACCCGTCACCGCCAAACATGTCTCGGGCAGATGCATCAAGGCCGCTTCGAATCTTGATCAAGCAAGGCATTGGTTGAACGACTGCCTTCGCAACCATGACCACGATTCTAGTAAATCTGCTACCCATCTGTCTAGGCTGCTGGCAGCAGGTACTGCAGATGGGTCGGAGCAGATCATAATTGTGGGCGACTCAAATTCCGATGCCAGATATCTAGCAGTCAGCTATCGTTGGGGCCAGCTAGTTGCGGGATAAGAAGGTCGACTTCAGTCGGAACACACAACCAAGAACAGTCCGATCCCAACACAGTATATTAGTATCGACCTAATTTGCCACGTCCAATAGATAATATATGTGATGAGGTGGAGTTTACATCTTATAAAACTCTGCTACGTGGGCTGACCTCATCATTTCTTCGTTTACTACCTTGGCTTCCTTGGGCCAACTGCATAATAATCTGCGCAGGCATGTTGTTCCTGTAAATTTTGGCGAGGCAGTGCATTAGCCTGAAACAATATGCAGATGATAAGAGATCTACGTTACTTAGAGACTTTGGCTCTTATGGTTAACGAGGACGATCCCCGCTCCCCAGCCGGAGCCGGCACAAGTGGGGTGATGCTGCAACAAGTCACCGCAAGCGTCTTGTCATCTACGACTAGAACGGCAAGGTGATACAGACTAACAACAGCCCGCGTCGCTTCTTCGAAGGCCCTTCCCTCAATAAAGTCGGAAATCCTTACTACCTATAGCATTCAACAGGCACCTCGCACATGATTAAAATTATAGTTAGCTAAGCTAGATAGTCTGTTTTACCAGAAGAACAAGCTATTACAGCTAGTTAAAGGATAGACTACTCACAAGTCGATTGTTAAATTTAAGGATGGATGGCTTCTCTGTTATGTTGACTCTTCGCTTATGGGCGTCGATGATTTGCGCAACACAAAGGTTAGGAAGCTTTTGTTCCAGAACAGCGCGTTTGAGCTTGCTCAGCCGCAACCAGTTGTGACCCCATAAGCTAGATCTGTAGCACTAGAGGCGTTAGATGCAAGACCTGTTTCGAGTGCATACAAAGAGATAGACTTTAGTTTTTAACCCCGCTGAATACCTAACCACTCAACAGCGCTTTCCCTTACTACCAAGACTTTGCAGTCCTCAAAAAACCAAAATCTCCATACGCGCCCTCGTATCTCGCATCCAAACAGCGTTTCGGGGAAAAGCCTATTTTAACAATTCGTAGATAGTGTGAAAATTACATCGTTGTATGTTATTTTGCTCCACCCCCGCTTTCCCCGCCCTTAGTTAGCCAGCCCTTGCACAGCGGGGTTGTGTAGGGAGAAGACGCAGCCTGCAGTAGCCTTATAAAATATTGTTCCGAGTTTTGTGGTATGTATCTCAGCAGCAATATATGTACTCGCCGAATAGCGGTAGTAGCCGTTTCGGCTCGGCCGCCGGGCGTAAATAAATTGTGTGTGTGTGTGTGTGTGTGTGTGTGTGTGTGTGTGTGTATCAAGGCAACTTGGTCTAGAACAAGAGAGAAACATTCTCCTGATCACCTTTTACACCAATACCTCAGCAAAATGTTCCAAAGAAGGATCTCC